GCCAGCTTCTCTCTGAAGCCCGAATTCCCAGAAGACCCCTTTAAATGAGGATGGCCCTTTACAGTAGACAGGCAGTCCAAAAGATACCTGTTAGCTAACATAGTTCTAGAAGGATTGTAAATAAAGAATACAACTTAGAGCATAAAGTATTACATTTGTTTCTAAAATAAACCTCATGCTGTTGGATAAAAGTCTAACTTCACTCATTAGGGAAGCAAGGGGAAAGCCTACATATGCTGACAGTTACATACTCGTGTGGGTACACACTGAGTCAAACATCCAGCACCTAAACAGGAAGCAGAAAACTTGAAATGAAAAAGAAAGAAAAAAGGTTGACTTGGAAACTTTTTAGCGTATTTCCATTCCTTAATGCACCTGCCAGCTGCTCCCATTCTGGTTCACATTATGTTAAATCCCGTTCTTGACATAGTACACCACTTCTAAAATCACACTCACCGTTGCCCTAACACACTGGTTCTTTCCTACAGCTGCTTTTCTTTGAAATGAAACCACAGAATTAGAAAGAATTAAATCTGTCTTATAGAAATAACTCCTTTAGAGATAGGAAATGATTTTTGCTAATTGGCATGAGAGAACAGCCCTGACCAAAGAGTCAAATATATACAGTTGTTGCCAACAGGTAACCACGTGTCTTTCAGGACAACATGAAGTATTTCAGTAGCAAACTCATGCTTTTTAAGCATTCAACTTTGTGCAAATTTGTTAATGCCAGAGCTACACCAACACCAAGGCAGGGCTTAACTTCTCTGGGGAAACAACGACCTATCTATTATATGAAGCACCCAATATTTTCTAGGAGTCTTAAAAATATTATATTTCTCTAATAAGGTGTGTTCAATTAAAACAATTCTAAGCACCAGTAAATTATTAGCAGCTGAAACGAAGATTTTTAAGAGCATTTTGAAATTCATGAACATGTTAGATACATCCATTTTGTACACGTGACAAAAGAAATAAAAAGAAGCATCAGCAATTTCTGAAGTGGTTTAATACACCATAACCTCAGCCTTTCAAAAGCATGAGGAATTCCTTTTGAATTTACAGACAGTGTTTTATCACCCAAAATTTAACAGCACAAATAAAACTCCTGTCAATTTTAAGGCGTGTTCCTAGCATGTACATCTCTGCCTGACCTGCCGCGTGAGACACTTTCAAAGCCTGATTAGTCCCCATTCCCAGCTGAGAAAATAGAAGCTGAGAAAATAGTATGATCAACTTAAAAAAACCCTGGCAAATCAGATACAGAATTGAGACCAAATCCAGTGCTTCCAGCTCTTAGCGACAGACACCATCCACTTAATCAGTCAAAATAACAAGCACTAATGTGCGTATTGTCCAACTGAAGTAAGGCACAACTTCAGGTAAAATCATACTTCGAGATCTGGCAAACCTTGAGTGGTGAAGTAAGGCTTGAAGACTTGCATTAACAGAGCTCACTCTACAACTTGCAACATGGGCCCCAGCTAGATAGGTCAGTAGATCTCTTATTTTCACCTGAAAACACATCTCCTTTTACCACCTGCATTTAAACGCAAATAAGAGCTTTCTAAAATCTTACAAGATCACAACCTCAAGACACCATAATTCCTAACAGCAAAGCAAAGTAAAGTAAGAACCCTCAGGTCTTACGGGAACACTGCAGAGTTTCCTTCCTAAAAGGCCTTCAAAATCAGTGCCTTGCCTAACCATTTCTTGCCCTTCGCCACAAGAAAAGTACCCTGGATTCCTTTCCTCTTCCCACCTACTGCCTACCATCCTCCTGCACAAGCATGGCTGCCCTCACACCACACCAAGAGTTCAGAGCTCCCCTCTTGCTCACACACACTTATGTACCTCTTCCCCTATGTCCTTGCTATACCAGAAAGTTGGAGAAAATGCTGATTTTTGCCTAACAAAGCCCTGCAAATACTGAAAGCTTGCAGAAGATGCAGCCTCCTCCATGGTCAAACTGACCTTGCCAAGAGGCAGAATCAACACAGCACCCAGTCAAGCACTGCATTAAGAGGACTGTATTGTTTCTAAGAATGGACCTAGTAGCTCAGCCTGGTATCCATCCAAGTGCTGGGCGCGATTCGTTACCTTTAGCACCACTGCACTTCACACAGCAAGTGGTAAGCTCAGCGTTTATCACATTAAAACTTAACTGAAAATGTACTGTTACTACCACAGCAGGTACAGAAATCTCCTCAAGACAACATTCTGCAATCACAAAGCTCTCTCCAAGTTTTGAGCTAGACAGACAAATTTGATTTAGATTTAAGGAAGGAGGTGCCATCTTGGAAAACTAAATATTGAGCTTGATGCAGCCTTTCCAAACCTCACCCCTAGTCCAAGAGAGTGCCCCTGGTTTCACGAGAACAGAGCAGAACTGATCACGGCAACTACATTTCTAGAAAATGAAGGGAAAGCTCCACAACCACCTTCTTCTGTCAACTCAGCTGCCTTTTCCCAACTGCTAGCATAAACACATTAGGATGCACGCTAATACATGGTGCCTGGCTGCTGCAGACCTTTCCTTCCCCTTGCTCACCCCATCACCTTGCCTCTGCTATCTATTCCTAGATGTTTTGGTGAGTCAACTCACTTTCGAAGCTTTCTGCCTGCATCCCAATTTCTGACCTCAGGACTTGCATCTCTGCTGGTGTTATCACTGGGCCTGGCCATCTCTGTAACTAAGGGGTTGTTTTCAGAACAAATAGCTTTTTCTTTGTTGTAACTGCTACACGGACATGTCAATAGATGTGCGTGTTGTAAGAAACAAGAATATACTGGCATAAAACTCACAGGGAAGCTTCCAGGGCCTTAGAAACCTCCAAATGCAGAAAACAGATAAAATGTAAATGGAAAAAAAAAACCCCACACAGTAAATGAGAAAAAAAAAACAAAACAAGAAACAACCAAAACCCAAACAACAACCAAAACCAAATGACTGATGCAAGGACTCTGAAGCAGAAGCATCTTTTGTTACTAAAACACAGACCTAGATTCAGATCCCCACAACTTTTCAGATCACCACAAGAACAAAAATCTGCAGCATCAATACCCTTAACACTTACTTTGAAGTTGTTGAGAAACCAAAGGTGCTTGAGTAACTTTTTTCCTTAAACACAACTGAAAGGTTCAGTTTAACACCACAAGCACACACGAGTTTTTAAAAGGATGCATTTTAAAACAAGCACAGGATGTGACCTACCATATACAGGCAAAGCCTTTACCCATCCATTCCAGCATCCATCCCAGAGAGGGAATACAAGCAGGTGCCTCGGGAAAGAAGCTCCCCCACAGTTGGCCGAAGGTCCAATATCTAACTGCACAAGCTTCATCCCAGTAAATCAGCCTGTGACACACTGCCATGCTTGTCACATACCTCAGATCCACCAAAATACATTGTACTGTGCTAAAAAGTGCAAGATATATCCACAGAGGCATTATTCCCCATTTAACAGTCCATCAGTTTTGTTGTAAAAACTACGTCAGCACATCCAACTTTAACAACACAGATTTGTTACTTGTTCTCAAACATTTTTGTTCCGGCCTCAAGAACTGAAATATCCAACCAGTGAAGTTTAGAGTAAAGATTTTCCTTCCTTTAAAATACTACTCAGCCAATTTTTTTAAATGCTATTATTTTAAAGATTCTACTCAACAACTCGTAACACAAAGGCTTTGCCTTTTTACATTTCTATGTTGCTTCTATTTCAGCCCATTAGTCCGTAAGAACGAAATCACTGATTCATCAGTTCTCTAGTAACATTAAAACTGCAACAGCTCATTTGGCTACACATGGGTATTTCTTAGCCTGCCTCCACAGTATCTCTGCAAGTTAAATCACTTCTATCTCCTAAATGAAGGAGCTAGTCCCCATTTTTTTTATGGGGGTACCATTCCAGAGCTCACATTGTGAGGACACTCCATACTGCAAGGTGGGTCCTAGACTTCCGCAAGAGCAGCTCCCTTTTTTCCAAGTATAAAAAAAAGACAGAAAAGAGATAGAAATAAGAAAAATTAAAACCCCCACAATATGCTGTGTTTCAATTGCACCTAACTTGCTTTTATTGCAAGATCTCCAAAATAACAAATATTAAAATGCTGCAGTATCTGCACTGTCTTCACTCACCGTAAGGCAGCAGATGAACCAACCGGTTTGTTTCGGCTACAGGCAAAGTGCAAGACTGCTCCTTGAAAGCCAGCTGGTGAACTCTCTACTCCCAAACAAACCTTTGGGCAGCTGCTCCCACGTACCAGGCTAAAATCAACTTTGATTTCAGCTGCTCCCCGAAGAGCCTCCCATTAAACAACTAAATCATCCTGCACGGCTTTGACTGAATAAATGCCAAAAGCGGTAACAAAAATAAAGCAGAAAACACAGGGAGGAGAAAAAACCAAGCAGGTGTGGTGCACAAAGAGCAACAGCTTTGTAACTGGAACGAAAAGACTTGGCCTAATGGCAATCCAGGTACCAGAGCAAAGACAAGTGATCCATCCAGCAACCTGCAGTGCCCGCATAGCCTGCACTCGCTGCACGGGACGGGTAGGGCTCTGCACTCCGCTTCGCTACTTAAACAACACAATTCTTTCCGTAAGGACTTGTAACAGCAACACCCGAACCGCTGCTTCCCCACAAGCACGAACAGCCCCCACCCAGGCGGCGAGTCCCCTCGGGGCCGGCTCCTGGGGGCGGGTGGCCGAGGCGGGGGCCACCGCGGTCCGCAGGAAGCCGGGGCCGATCTCCGGTCCCGCACCGCCGCCCTGCTGAAGCCAGACCAGGCGAGGCGCTCTCGGCCCGGCCGCCCTCGGTGCCTGGCGCGGCAGGGACAGCGGCCCCGCGCTGCCGGAAGCGCCGTGAAGCAGGACCGGGGCGGGGGGGGGGGGGAAGAGGGAGAAAAGCCACCGCCCCGAGTTCGCCGCCCGCCTCAGGCCCGGCCCGACGGGCTCCACAAAGGACGGAAGGCGCGGCCGGCAGGTGGGAGCGGACTCACCGAGCTGGGGCGGCGCCTGCCGCCTCGGAGGACGGACGGGCTGAGCGGGGCGCGGCCGCCACTCGGCGCCTCTGCAATGGCGGCGGCGTCGGGAACCCACCGAGGCGGCGGCGGCGGCAGGAGCCGGAGGGGAAGCGGAACCGCCGCGCGTGGCCACAGCCCGCGGGGGCGGGGCAATGCTCAGGTGACTACAACTCCCGGCGGGCACCGCGCCTGCGCCGGAAGCGGGTGTCTGCGGCAGCGGCCTGCATGCCCCGCTTCACCGCTGGGGGACGGGGCGAGAGGGGCCGCGGCATCACTGCTCGAGGCCTGCGTCCGCCCTCAAATGCCCAAGGCAGAGCAGCGCTGGTTTGGGGTCACGTCATTAAGCTTTACATACATAACTTCTTTTGCGGTGGGCTATAGCCAGCTGCAGAGCAGAGACCCGCCAGACCAGAAAAACAGAGGCAGAGCACTTCTGAACTGCTTCTTCTTCACCCTTTTTTTTCCATCTTCTGGCATTTAAATTTGACATTATTAACTCAATGCGTCATTTTGTGAGAGGAAAACTGGTTTTGCACAGCACAGTGGTGTCATCTGTCAGTGGCTCCTTGGGGTGTGCCCCAGCTTACTGAGTGAACAGAGCTGGTGGCAGCAGAATTACTGCAGAGCAAATGGTCACAGAAAACTCACCCCTACAGACCTGCCTTATTTCAGCCCCCCTCTTTCAAGAACAGTACACCAGAGTGACCCTGCTATAAGCTGGTATAGACTTCTTTGGTCTGCTTCCTACCACAGGCAAAGCCGTCATTTTCACTCCTCTTTGCATGCTGCTGTTACTTTCCCATTCTGACTCAATTCTATAGTTGATCTTACCAGGACCAAGTTTTTGCTAATTCATCTCTGCATGTACCTCTCAACAAACCACAGCAGGTTTCTGAACTTCACACTTCCCTCAGCTCTACTTCCCTTCCCTATAAGGTCTCCCTACTTATTGCTGTTTCAGCCTTGTACCCCTAAACCCAGTCAGCTGCCACTACAAACCACTCTCCGAATCCTTTCCCCCCTCCCAGTCTTCTGTCTCCCTCCCCAGGCACATCTTTTTAAACCAACTAGGAGGGTTGTTTTGTGATTCAGAAAATCTTAACTCCTAGCATGGTCTTTAACACCCCTACCTACCCCTTTTCTTAAATTGCTCTGATTCAGGCCTTACGCATATTAATGATAGATAATGTTTGTGTCCATCCCCTCTATGTATGTTCTCTTGCTGAGAATTCACTCCTTTGTCTCCAGAGTTGCCAGGAATTTTCCAAAGGGCAACAACTGCTTTGCAGCTCATCCTCTGTGTCTGGGAGTGATCCCTGTAGGACTGGCACCTGCATCCTCCAGTGTCTGGCACACCATCAGGGCATTCTTGCTAAATGCAGGGCTTGCTAAATGACAGCAATTTTCAGTATGGGAAAGAAAGCTTAACTGGCAAGTTCCTTCAAACTGGACGCTTACAAGAGTTATTAGATTTATTGACAGCTTTGGGAAAAAAAAAAAAAGCCAAACCAAACTACAAAAATCCCAAAATAACAAACAAAAAAAAACCCCAAACACCAAAACCCACCCCAAAAACTTGTCTACTATAATACAAATGCTAGAGATATAAAACTAACATCCATTGAGAAGTTCTGTGATTTCTCTCATAGTTTACATTGATCAGAAGAATTACTCGAGTTGAAAAGCTTATTGGTGGGATCTTCATGTATTTTAGATACACTGAGCCACGTGCCAAACAAAATTATTAGTGCACTTTTAAACCCTTCTGAAGTCAACTATTTGTTTAGTATTGACAGTGCCAAGCCCCCTGTAATTCAAGACCCTCCTCCCTCAGTTTCTCCTATGGCATCTTACCACTAATGTGAGTTTCCATTCTCACATCTTCACTTGTACAGATTCCCAAGTTATCCACTTACTATATTTTCTCTCATTTGTCCAAAGGATATTAGCATTTTCTTTCACAAGGCTGTGATATCAGGCAGCTTGTTTTAGCTGAAGAATCCAACCTGTGATACTCAACTGGTACTATCTGATGTTAAAAACCCAAAACCAAACAAACAAAGAAACCATGAGCTTTCAGGTGATAAGAGACCTGCCAGAACTGGGTGACAACCTGAGATGATGCCTTTCCAAGGGTCAGACTGCAACACAGAATGACTTACCTTTGTAACAGAGAGCATAAGAACTCAACTCAGGGAATTAAAAATCCCACTCAGACAATTAAAAATCCCACTCAGACAAGCATTACCACACTGGTCCACAGCCCTGCTATGATGTGGTTAAACAGGCCGCCAAATCTCACTGCAATTGTTCAGTTCAGTGTCTCCCTTCCCCCAAGCAGATGCAGAGCATGACTTCTCTGAGGTAGCGGATGAAGGACTGGCGCAGCCACCATCATTCAGCACAGTCGAGGGAAAACAAGAGCCCAGTGTCAGAGCACTTGCCAACCTGTCGTGGGCGAAGTCACAAGACGAGCTCTCTATTGAATTCAGCAGAAGCAGAAGAAAGATGTTCAAGGGATCCTGAAGCTACAGCTGGACAGTGATGAAAGGCCAATTCTGATGAGAAGCCTTGGCTGCACACTGAGCCCTCAAAAGAGGACAGAATTTGAAAACCAGAATATTCATTCGTCCCCTCACACACACTCCCAAAAATCACCTGCTTTTATTGACTTATTCTTGGCTTATAGAAAATAAAATCTATTTTCTCCACCAACAGTCCCAGGAGTTACTGTAAACTCATAATGCCACCTACTGACACTGAGAAGAAACAGCAGCCAACCCCTTGTCAATCAAGAGCAACTCGGGGTTTCCATCAAGTATTTTACTTCCCATTCCCTTGTATTTATCAGCTGTTCTGACAGCTCAATGCAAGTCTTCTAATTATTTGCTTCTACTTAGTATCTTTTCACCAGTTTTTATCTTCCAAGGGTTACTTCTTCCCGCATCTGAAATAGAGTGAAATTTCTTTCAAGTTGTCTAAATTCTTTCTAAACCAATCTGACCAAGAGCAACTAATCCCTAACAGTTATTAGGATGGGAGAGATTATTTAAGCCTTCTCCTGCAAGCACAGGATGTCTCTTCACAAATTCATACATAACACATCTGGACAACAAGCTTAAAATTCAGAAATTTAATGAGTAGTTGATGTTTCTCATACCCACAGGCTATGGGTAAGAACACACCACAGGTTCTGGTGTGTGTAAGGTGTTCATAAGAATTGGACCAAATGATTATAACCCATTATGGGACCCTCGCACATTACTTATATCGAAATAAAAGTGAAATAGGATTCATTTAGGAAGCAGATGTAATACCGTAAGTTTTGCTGGATGTAGGTCAGTCATTCCATATTTCTTTATTCTGAGCAGGTCACCTCAGAGAATTGTCCATATTTGCACATGGCTGCAAGAATCAGACTGGAACAGAGCACTGTGGCAAGAAGAGTCACGGCACACACCATGGAAATATGTTGCCTGAGCCCCACTGGAACCTGCAGAATGGATTCCTCATGTGCCTAAGAAGAAAAATAAATGGATGACACACATTTAACAAGCTATTTATTTTTGACTGCAATTTGGATGATTAATAAATATGTTTAATTAGCCCTTTGCTAAGGCTTCTTCCTGGACTCAAAATCAAAACTGTTTACAGCAAATGGAGCCCCAGCTGCTCCTGCAGTACAAAGCACAATAAATTTATCTGCTCAAAATCAATTTATGAGCATTTCACCAATCACCAAGACGCCAATTTTCTCAAAGGTGAATAACTATTTGGTTTCTCTCTTTGATGTGTGATGTGTTGTTACAAAAACAAGAAATTTGTTACGAGCCAAATGAGTCTTATTTCTGAATCTCTTCACTACTGCAACCCTTTTGAGTATCAAATGCAGTTGCTGACAACACTAAAGATCCCACTTTCCTTGGTTTTGAGTTAGAATAAAGAGACTATGTGTTTTCCTAGATACTCAGCCAATCAGATAACAACCAATCAAATAGAAGTGACCTTTTGTTTAAGATGCTATTCCGTCAATCTCTGCAGTTTTACTCCTCCTTTAGTTTGGGTATAAAGTAGTTTTCCATTTCACTACTCTTCTGAAGCACCTATGTTCTAAAGACTTCTCTTAGTTTGACCAGTGCCAATTATATCCTAGAATTCCAAGTAAATTTATATCCCAAAATTCCAAGGAAAAAATAAAAGGAAAAAAAAAAGGTGAGGATGTGCTCATCATAAAGACCAGAAGAGCACAGTTACTACAAGTATGTCAGAAGGGCAGGATAACCCCCACTAAAAGCCAATCAGAAAGGAAGAAAGGAGCTTCCCTAAGAGGGAATTGCACAACTAATCTTTTACTGATTAGTTCCTGTGCTATGGAAGTTGCTATTCACAAGGAAAAAGAAAAGGCAGCAATTGTTAGAAGAGAAGCAAGAATTCCCACAGAAATAACTCACAGACTTGTGTGTTATGCTGTACCACTGACAGGGGCCAGCATTTTTGCCTGAGCAGGGAGCTTCCACTTCAGCAGCCTTCCAACACTCTGCTGGCAGGCGACCTGCGGAAGATGTTAATGCATCAGCAAGATCCATGTGGGACAAAGCAATACAGTCTACAAGGCTTTTCCAAATGAGGTATCCTTCCTCCACAACAGCTTGACAGAATCTACTCCCTGAAAGCCACCAGGTGAAACAGCACTGACAGAAATGTGCCAACTAATCTGCACAGTTAAAGTGGTACTGGGCAGTCCTTTTCATGTACTTTGTAACTCTTTCCAATATGGTAGGTACCCAAGAAACAATTTCACTTGGGTGGTATCTTGGCCCTTCCATCCTTAACAGGGCAAAGAATTCATCATTAGCCTGTAGACCCCTCAACTTTAGCTGTACAGTTATTATTTCTCTTCCCCCCAAAACAAAGTCATTCTTTCATTTCTTGCTGGCCTCGTGCTGGCACATGCAGGAATTCTCCTCCAATACTTCAAATGCTTTCAAATGAAAAATAAATATGTTTTATTTATTATTATTTACTATTTACATAAGTAGTAAATGTGGCAGAAAAATGGGAAGACTTCATACCCTTTTTAATTGACCAGGCAGTGTTCCCTGCCCTTAAGTCTATCCCAGAAAATGATTGCTCAGATAATGCGCAAATGACGATAAAGTAGCTGAGAATCATTAGCATATTTGACTTGGCAGCAAGTAAGAATAATTTTGTGAAAGGAAATACAATTTGTAGCAAAAATCTAGGATTTCATTGTTAATGTAATTTGAAATACTGTCACTGGATTATCAGATTCTTGTTTCACACGAGTCTGAGACTCCAACCATGCTAACCTTCAGGCACAGAGTTTTCTACATTCCCCCCCCTTACCATGCAGGGAATGCAGGAAGTGTTACAAACCATCACAATACTCTGATTACTCTAAATACGTGACAGTGAATATTAAATATGCCCTGCATGGCTTCAGCTGCCAAGAGAAACACTGAAAAAGCCATGTGAACACCCAGCTCCTTACAAGCCAAGGATTGTGACAAGCAGATCAACTGCCAGTGCTGCCCACTACAGCACAATGGTACAACAGCAGCAGCACAACACCAAGAAGTGTATTAACAATTAATCTGCCTTTGGTCAGACAGCAGCAGCATTCAAAGAGGAAGAATGGGGGTCTTTATCAGGGCCACTATCTTCCCTTCATGTTCACATGACTACCGAGAGCTCCATCTCCAGAAGACAAATACAGAACCAGACTCCAACCTCTGTATTGCCCACTGTTACTCCTCTCTCCCCAGTAGAACAGGTAACAAGAATCTCACTGTCACAGCAGCAGACCAGTACTTCTGGGCTCTTCAGCATAACCAACACTTCCTCACTGTCTTCTGCCGGCCGGTGGTACCGGCCATGCACAGGCAAGGTAGCTGTAAAGCAGTGAAAACACCAAGGGTCGGGTTCCAGGTACAGCAGAACTAGAAGATCTGTTGCTAAGTACTCAGGAGCCTCCACATCAACATCAGGAATTAGCACTGCCTGCAAGTGAAGAAAGATACAGATGTGGCTGTGATCAGACTCCATGCAAGGGAGAGATGTGGGATAAAAAATAATGTATGCACATTTTGTGCATGATTCGGGGATTTAAAAAGCCACTGTCTGCTGTGGTGACCTGCTTGCAGTGACAGAAGGAAAAAGTATTTTCCTTATTTTAACACTGGGCCTTATTTCATGGTCAGGAAGAAAATTCTGTCCTGTGCTGGTTTTGGCTGGGGTAGAGTGAATTTTCTTCATAGTAGCTGTATGGGGCTATGTTTTAGATTTGTGCCGGAAAATGGCTGATAACACAGGGACATTTCATTACTGCTGAGCAATGCCTACACAGAGCCAAAGCCTTTTCTGCTCCTCACAGCACCCCACCAGCGAGCAGGCCGGGGTGCACAAAGAGTTGGGAGCGGACAGAGTCAGGACAGCTGACCCCAACTGACCAGAGGGATATTCCATACCATATGGTGTCACGCTCAGCATATAAAACTGGGGAAAAAAGAAGAGGACTGAATGTCCCCTATTCAGAGTGATGGTGTTTGTATTCCCAGGTGACAGTTACATGTCATGGAGCCCTGCTGTCCTCGAGATGGCTGAACACCTGCCTGACCATGGGAAATAGCGAATGAATTCTTTGTTTAGCTTTGCTTTGTTTAGCCTTTTGCTTTACGTGTTAAAACTGTCTTTATCTCAACCCATGAGTTTTCTCACAACACAAAATACCCTGCACGCCAGGTGATGCTGATCAAGCCAAGAGATACAATGAGGTGTCATGAAGATAACACTGTGTGGCACCTCCTTCCAGGAAAAGGAGTTCATGATCTTGGTTCAACGAGCCAGATGACCAGAGATTACAACTTCCTGAGCATCCTTATCTGAGTACCTGCCAGATGTCTTAGCTTTGGGGTTGTTACCTTTGTTAAATTGTGCTGCTGTAGGGATGCCAGCTCATAGGGATCCACGTAGATTCCTGGTGGAAGATGAGTTCTAGCTGCCACTGTGCATCCTCCTGAATGCTCCCGCACTACACCAAGCTCTACCTTCAATAGCAGGTCCCTTAAAACAAGCAACAGAAGCAAAACATTTACACCCATGCTTCAAAAGATGACAACCCCTCTTTCCCCACACAAGAGACATACTCTCAAATGTGCAAAAATGAGCTGCAGCTCTTACTATGTGCAATCAATTAAGAAATGGATCCTGCTCAAGCCATGCTATGCTTCTCTAGTTAGGATGAGGTAGTTCACCCTAACTCCACATCCATAACCAGAATGAAGTTTTGCTTCTTTGTTAATGTCTCAGTACTACCAACGGCCTCCACACAGCTCTCAGAAAAGAGCCTCCTACTCCTCCTCCACTATAGCTTGTAACTGTCAGTTACTTGATCATGCTAATATATCCTAGTACCTAACCATGCCTATGTATCAAAACCTCAGTGCATGGATACAACTATGCATTAATTAAGAGAAACTTCTTCACAGGTAAAATTACCCTGCACGTTATTCTGATGCAGCTTTCACATCTTACCTGTGAAACCCCTCTTTCAAAAGCTCCTGTGTGACAGTGGCACCCTCACAAACAGCCTGCACACCTAAAAGAGCACAGAATGAACAAGTAACAGCATAAGCACACATCATTATCACATGGACAATTTTAACAAGCAAAATATAATATATATGTACATTTAAACTATGAGCACGCTATCTGCAAAATCTCTCACAGAGAAGGGCAACAGCAATTCACTGAGACCAGCAGCAGAAGTTTATCAGGTCACTGCTCGAAGGGCCTCCACCACTTCTGCACTGGCCCGGGGCTGCCCGGCCGGCTCCCTCAGCCACAGCACCCGCAGCACCATCAGCACCCTCAGCAGCAGGAAGAGGAAGGAGCTTCCCATGGTCCCGCCTTACCCCCGACCCTCGGCCGGGACAACGAGGAGCTGCTGCCCCGCGCCCAAGCCAGGCCGGCTCTTACGGAAGGCGCAGAGGAACGCGGCCAGCGCGGCACTGAGCAGCGCCTCTCCCCGCCACCGCAGGCCGCCCGCCATTGCGGGGCCAGCTCCACACGGCCTGGCTCCCGTTCCGAGCGCCCACGGAGTCCGCCTGACTCCGGAGGACATATCTGCCCCTCGCTACTCGGCGACAGCGGGACTCACCGCTAAATACTTCTCTGACGCTTCAGTTCTGCCGCTGTCCCCACCTGGTGCGGGGATCCGCAGCGGTAGAGGCCAGCCGAGCCCCAAGCCGTCCCGCAGGCGCTATATTGGGCAGCCCAGAAGGGGCCTTAGGCGCCAGGGGCCGGCGGCGCAGCTGTGGCCATGGCAACCACAGCGGGTAGACCATGGAAACGAGGCCCGCCCTGGCCGCCGCTTCTCGTCCCCTGCGCCGGCAGAAGGCCGCTGCGGAACGGTTTCCTGCCTGAGGTGAGGGGAAAGGGCGAGAGGTGGGAAGGGACGAGAGGTGGGAGGGGCGAATCCGATCTTTTCCCACTTACCTCCTCTCCCTCAGTGTTTAGGCTTCCACCGCGAGGGATTACTTATCTGGCAGAAACACGCGATAGAAAAGCGGCTTTTTAACGGCAAAAGTAGTCTTCTGCAGCACAGAAACTGGCAAGTCAAAAACACTCACGTGACTGTGTTTCAGAGCTCCTGAAGCCCGTCTTTCACGCCTGGTAGCAGAGGTCTACTGCTTGCCTTACCTAGTGATATGAAACCTCTTTCTCCTCTTTTACGCGGATCCAAACAGCTTCTTATGTTTGTATTACTTGTCTAAGGATTTCTTTCCCATTTCAGAGGTGGAGTCCCACTCTAATGATCGCCAATGACCCTTCAAAAAGCTATTTCAGCTCAGTTTGAAGCATCGTTTCTCATTTTCAGATGGTAAAAGTGGCTCTTGAGAGAATTCTGCTTTTAAAAGTAAAAGGTAGAAGCAGCTGCAGTAAATTTTCAGTACTGAGAACATTATTGCAAAATTGAACTCTTTCTTATATTCTTTTTGACAAAGAAGAGTTTTTACTCAACTTTGAAGTAGCTTTTGAAGAATAATGCAATTTTTCTTGGTGTGGAGACATACGTTATTGGGGGGGGGGTGTAAAATTTCTTATTACTGCAGTCTGTAGGGCAGTCGGAGGAGATAACCTTCACATTTGGAATATTTTCACTTATTTAAAACCAGAAGAAAAATAACACATTTGGTGTTATTAGTTGCCCTACACTGGGTAAGAAGGATCTGCAGCAGATTTAGATCCTTCAGTCTCCTCTAACATTTTATCTGACTCAACGCAGGGATGAAGCCAAGAGCAGAGCTGACACTGAGTTGTTCTCGAGCATTTTGGGTACAGAAAAATGCAATAAGACATAAAAAGAGAAGCTGCTGCTGCCAGTCAGACAAACATTCCTCTCTCCTGCTGCAAGACAGAATACTTCAGATAACAATAAAAGGATGATTATGGATTAACTTCCTAACCTTCTTGATGTTATAGCTGACCGATGCACTGACAGGTTTTCCCTTACCATATGAAATAAGGAGTATGATATCCCCAGGTTTGTGATAGAGACACATAAGGATACTTGAAACATATCAGTCAGTTTGTATCTTTTCAAAGCAAATACAAGTATGTATAAGGTTTTTGCCTTTGTTGCATCTCCTGCAACATTCATATTAGTTTTCTGTTAACTCTTTCAGTGGGGTTCCAAGACGTTTCCAATGTTTGTGTTACCTGCATTTTTCTAAAGATAAATTTTTCAAATATGCTCAGATAACCTGACAGCAAAACTGTATTGTTATATCATTACTGAAAAGTCAGATTCTCCCTAATGTCACACATGGAGCTTCCATGTGAACTACAAGGCATCGCAAAGTTAGAAGCCTGCCGGTTAGAGCAGCAAAGGGTTTGGTAGGTAAGCAATTCCTGGCTTTCCAGAGCAATGGATATAACATGCAGTAAATACTGCTTGTGAAGAAACTGTAATACGTTGATTTACTATCTTATGACATTTTTCACTTTAAAAAAGGAGTATTGAAACCAACCATATTTTAGTTAACATTTGACTGTGTAGTACTTTACTTAGCTGTTAGACTAAAAGGTAATCCTGGCCAACCAGTGACAGAAGTCTTAACCAGCAGCCGGGAATCACTCTGCACCCTGCTACTGGACTACAGAGCACACAGGGACATGCTCAGCTTCCACTGAAACTGGGGAGACTTACACCTTGGCTGCATGGTTTTCTGCATTTGTACCACTCTGATCTTGATAAAAGTAACAGTACTAGGAGGCAGTCCCTTTTTTCTTTCCCTGTTTTTCAGTGAGCTTCGACATTGCTGAGGACATCTCTCATAAAGCTGAGCACGCTTCAGCCAGCAGGAAGAACTGGAATGACTTACGTTGCAAAGAAGTGTGGCGTCTGCTTTCAGCCTCCATCCATTATCTTGATCTACACAGAAGCCAGCAAGGATAAGACTCGCCAGCGGATCATGCCTGTCAGGAATTTCTCCATGTTCTCAGGTGTGGTGTGTTTACTTGTAGCATTCCCCCTTTCCCCCCCCTAGACACAGTGAGAGCAACAGCTAGTTGGTAATAGCATTTTTAGTGGCCACTGGGTAGCTTTTCACCAGTGTGCAGGGAGTGCAAAGAGGGGTTGGTTTGGGGTAACATTGTCTCCCCTGAGAAGCCCAGGGCTATGTCTTAACCTCAGCAGTGGCTCTCTAAGTCTGGACATCTCACTCATGGGGGTTTGGGAGAAGAGTATACCTGTAAGTCTTCAACGTGGCTTTCTCTTTAGACTGCAGCATGGCTGCTGAGCAGCTGAAGAATAACTCTAGGCACAAGGCTTATCTAGAAGGAGTCTCACTGTGTCAGCTGCAGAAGCTGTACAGTTTGCTGAAGGGTCATTTGAGAGGAGAGAGCCTGGCTGAGAGCTTGGAAAAGTTTCAGCAGGAAAAGCCCATTGACCCAGAAGAGGATATGAACAAACTGGATGACAGGGAGCTAGACAAAAGGAAGAGGATCATGGATGAGCTGTTTGAAAAGAACAGGAAGAAGAAGGATGACCCAGATTTCATCTACAACATTGAGGTTGAGTTTCCAAAGGATGAGCACCTGGAATCCTGTAGCTGGGACATAGAGTCAGGTGAAGAAATCTGATTCTGGACAAAGATGTGTTGGATGGACAGCTCAGAGACAAATCCTGGAGTCCTAACGGACAATGATGTCGGCGAACACAGCCACATTGTTTTCAGCTCATGCAGCTGATGCACATGACACTGGCTGCGGAAAACGCGAAACCTAAGGAGCTACAGCAATTCCAGTTTTAAGTGAACTTTAAGAAGTCAGACCTGATGAAATGGAAATTGGACAGCTGAACTTACTGTATGGTTTTAATCTTTTCCTATGTATAAATGTCCAAAATAATTTTCAGTTATTTAATCTTCCACTTGTTTATATTTCAGTCAGCTTTGGCTGAAAACCTCATCACCAGCTTGCCTTGCTGTCATTTCTATTCTGCATTGGCTGAAAATGAAGTGTTAAATATTTATGTCTTGAAAGCAGTGTTAAAGCGTTATTGTATAAGTATGGTATTTATTATTACTTGCTGGAATGTTAAGTGGGTATTAGTCTTTCTGGATAAGTCAACATTGCATTCAGAATATTACGCTCACATTTCCTGGGCAATGCTTAAATTTCCAGCTTACAGAACTATAAATCATTATATTTAAGAAATGGAAGGACAAACAGTAGGTTGGTTTTTTTGTTGTTTTTTTTTGGGGGGGGGGGAGAGGGGTATTTCTTTTGTTGGACTTTTTGTTTGTTTTGGTTTGGAGGTTTTTGTTTGGTTTTGGGGTTTTTTTGTTTGTGGTTTCTTTGAGACAACCAGGACAATTCCTGCTCTGGAGATATGGGCTCAGAAAGCACTTCAGAGCAAAGAATGTTCACCTAAGACTTCTGCAGCCCCATGTCCCCAAGCTGCCATTGAAGGAAGAAGGGGAGGCATGCAGGCACACGTGTACCTCAGGTGACCACAGCAATCACAGTCACACAGGAGACGGAAGGAAAAATGTTTCATGCAAAGGCTCCGCTCTAACCTGGGGGATTTGAAGATCAAAACCAAACCCTGAATTGCTCCTACAAATCAATGAGCCATTGCAACTTACGAACCATAGGAACAAAGGTATTTTTTACACTAAAGAGGATTTCATCATTAGCCAGCTTTATTCTACCCACTATAACTTCCACAAACAATTGTTTCCCCAGATAGCATGTGTAGTCACCTGGATTACGGCAGGGAATAGAGGTGGTCATCACTGCTACAAGAGGACCTGTTCAAAAGAGAATGCCACAATGCTCAAAAAGCATCATATAATGCTACTGCTTATGCACTCAACATCAGTGCTCCCCCAACAACAACAACCTGGTTCTGTTCCTTTAAATGCAACCACAATAAATGTTCAACAAGCTATAAGGTCTTCTATTACTTACTTCACTTAAATGATAGGGCAGCCCCTTGCATCTCTGCTGAATCCATATGTTGATACACTAAGGGGGGGACTATAAATAACTAAACAAATTTCAGGGGCTACTGAACCAGAAGCATAGATATGACCACACTAATCCTAAACCCTTCAAACTTTGCACTTTGAACCACTTCTACTTGCCATCATCAGATTAGAAAATTATTGTTACCTAAGCCAGGCAAATGCTTACAAACAGAAAACCAAAACAAAATACATTCTTCCCATAAAGAAATCAGCATTATTTAGAACAGTCAGCTTTACCAAGCACACTGTAGCTGTGGAGTGTGCACATCTCTGTCAAAAGACAGTTATTCTTGAGAGATTGAACAGTGATATACAGAAGTTTTAGTATTTACCAGCCTAAATGAGTAACAGCTCATGAATGTTCATGTTCCCCCTCCATTCTCAGAGACAGCTCTTTTGCAAGCTGTATTCTGCTGTTAGCTTGGTTTCAATAGCCAGGTCAGACACCATGTAACTGAGCAGAGCCTGTCAAGCAGAAATCAGCTCTATCAGAGGACAGATTAAACTCTATACGGGTGAGTTCACTCTTTCCATGACTCACCAAGCTGTTTGAGGGTCACAGGCTCCTGTCAAACAAATGTCCATATGGTCACAGTAGACACTAAAGCACAAAACGCAGGTGACACAAGGGGATTTGTAGAGAGGATCTTTGGGTGACGAGCGATAACTAGCCTCGGTGCTCTGCTTCATCACAATGAAACAGTGAAGCCAAATACGAAACTGGAGCAGCATGAGCCTCCTGCATCCTGAAATAAACACTGCAAATTGGGTTTGGGCAGTGCTGAAAATATGCCACTTCAATTTTTCTACAGCCACGATTTCTCCATCACATACTTTTACCACTTTGCTGGAAGATTTGGTCAGATTTAAGCAAGGTTTGGTGCCACCAGATAGCACTTGGTTTGAAAAACAGTATTTTGTTTCTTGAAGTTTAAATATTATTCCTTGCCCTTCATACTAAACTGCTTCTAAATTAAAGGAAAACTCAGCAAGCCTGTCCCCACCAGCTGCAGCATGGTGTGTGCAGTCAGCTCAAACAGGAAGAGAATACAGCTCCTCTGCTAAATCAGTATTGAACTAACAGCCTGCTCCAGACAGATATGTAAATATCTCACAACTGACATTAAAGAGCTCAGCTCTGTTATCAGGCCTGGACTTCGTTAGAACACCACCTCAGATCATCTTCACAGAATTTTGATTAATGGGGCTACAAACTACATGTACATTGAAGTCAACCACATGGTCCTGGTTCACCTGGAAAGCCCAACGTCTCCCTCCCACTGCAGTTTGTCACTACAACCCAGAAGAGGCAGCATCAATGTATTCAGAGCCTTGTTCTCCACCACAGAGGCACTCTGGAGATGTTGGTATTTTGATTGAGAAATATTCAAAAAAACAGCCGAATTTCTAAGAGTGAAACAAGGAGGCAGTGCATCACGGCTCTGCTCATCAGCCCCCTTCCCTCCCCAGGGCAGAGCAGTCTAGGAAGCTGGAGGAATCCCCCAGTGGAAAGGGAGTAGAATTCTTGAGAGCCATTTAACTTCTCATCTCTATTCAAAATAAAACCAGAGATGTGACATTACACATCCCATCACAATCTTTTATCCACTCTAATGCAATCCTAGACTTTCAAATACCTGTAGGGAAGACTTTACCTCATGGCAGACTGTTCCACAGGTTAGTTTCGCCTAACAAATGGTGCTGTTAAGACAAATTCCAGGGTTTCCTGCATGGCTCTAAAAAGTCAAACAGAATGAAAACAGTTAATTCAGCATGAGAGATGACATTTTGAAACAAGTCCATCATTGTTACACCAAAGTGTAACTCCAGTCCTCCCCACACCCCAAATTACCATCTCCCAACTGTTGCTAGCTCCAGAATTTGAGATAAAGACTTCTTATATCAAATACTTTTTTCACTCTAAGAAAACCTATACCTTGGGATGGGAAGGAAGATGAAGGGGTTAAGATCTGGCAGCAGAGATACCAGATGTGTCTCTGGCTTATCAGATTTATAGATTTATTATGTAAAACCCCTGAATACGTACTTCTGATGGATGTTTCCCCTCTATTTTTAGAACATGTGTGGATAGCTCATGTGGAAGAGAAGTTCCTGTCTGTGCCCCTTGGGTTCAACAGGAGCCCTACCCTGCAAACCACACACAGCTCTTCTGTATACAAAAAATGTTCATCACTGCTTTGCTAGAAGCAGGTTGTTTCCCTCTCCCAGTTTAGTGTTTCAGGATTAGGGCAATTTCCACACTAATCCTGTTCTTCAGGCATCTGTAACAATCATAATAATATCTGTAAGAATATATGTAAGGGACAACATGAAAGAAAAATATCACTTTGCAAATGTCTCATTAAAAAAGGATTTCTAAGATGCAAAACACGATCTACAAGTTGTTATAACTAGATTAACAACAAATGTTTCCTTTGAATACTGTATTTTAATTAATTAGATTAACATTAATACAGTTTGTCAAGTCATTCATTTCCCCATTACAAAGTTAAAACATTAAAGTTGACAGAGCAGGACACTGCTGCACTGAGTTACAGAACCCTCCTGGAGAAAAGGCTTACACTTATTCAAAAGGTGCTCACTTACAACATCTGGATTATCACAGACAATGACAACTTGATATATCCTTTACCAAATAACTTTTAAGGCAAACATCTTTCAACCTGTGCTCATACATGTACACACCCAGTGCAGAAGCCACGCTATTCTCAAAAGCATCAGAATCCTGAACAGAAGAAGAAATGCTGCTGCAACACTGGTTTGGCAGGTTCCTTAAGAGTATTATTCCTTTTGGATTTAAATTGAGTAGTGGTTTGGTTTTCTCTTCAATTATGTAATTGAAATATTGAGTCAATCTAGAAATGACAACAGAACAAAACATCTTTTGAAAAGCTAAATGTCTTCATGGAACTAATTCACATGTGCAGCCAGTGCAAATGGACAGCATCAGCTTCAACAGTTTTAAATAATCACTAACTAGGCTTAGTCAGATTTTGTTCTTAATTCAAATTTTATTTAGAATTTAAATTTATAGTTCAAAAAGTATGCACATTCTGTAGGTATAAAAGTTTAAAAAAATACATCGATTTATTGATAAATGCTTCAGGTTAAATTTACATTTTCATACATTATCATTATATTGCAATAATTGTCTTGCATCTTTTAACACTTATAAAAAATAAATTAACGGGATTGGATAAATCACTTGAAACCATGCTAGAATAATTCCTTAGAAAAGAGGGGTGAATTTTGCCATAGTAATTCTAAATTCCTTGCTACTGTAAATAAATAACTCTTCCATTAAGCAGTACAAGGTTAGCAGAACAGCACTTACAGGGTGAACAGGAAGCCGTGGTGGGATACCAACATTGTACCAAGAACATGAAGGGAATTAACTTCTACCCTGACAGCAACTTTGACCTCTCAAAACACAAAACTCTCTTACCCTCACCCACCCAATTCCCCCCTTCCTCACGGGGGGGGGGGGGGGTGGGGGTGGTGGTGGTGGTGGTGGTGGTGTAAAGGACAAGGAATGACTCTTCATCTCCTTTTGGTTACAGGGACTATCAAAACATCCGTATGTGATCTGGTAACTATTTTTAATTAAACCAAGAATGCATTTCCAAAATGTGAAATGTGTAATTGCTCACCATAAATACCTAAAGATAAAAAATGATCTGAGGAGAAGATGGAAACAGCTCTATCTAATCAGGTCACAGTGAACTGCAATCCCACCCAAACTCCCCAGGAGTAACATCACTCAACCCATTCTACCTCATGTAACAACTCAGGTTTCCATTTTGGGGAGATTCATTGAAATAAAGACTCAGAAAAGAAGTAACTGCCTTTGAACTTGAGTCTTGCATCTCCAGAGCCTTCAGAGTGGGCTCAAACACGTCTAACTACAGCAGCCAGACAAAGGTACCACAACAGAAACATGTGAAACTCCACAATAATGTAACAGGTTACAAGGACAAACCAGAAGTGTTTTTGGAAAGGCAAATACCTTCCAGACCTTCCTTATATATGGAGGGGAAATGAAAAAAAAGATGCAGAGAAAAAACCTGAACAAAAGGAATTAAAAAAAACAGGGAAA